CGGTAGGAGTTTCATCAGCTGAACCAACAGCAGAAGGAGTTCCTTTAGCAGTACCAACGGCAAGAGTTCATTCAGTAGTACTAATAGCAGGAGTTCCAACAGCAGAACAACAGCAGAAGGAGTACCTTCAGCAGTACGAACAGTAGGAGTTCCATCAGCAGAACCAACAGCAGAAGAAGTTCCTTCAGCAGTACCAACGGCAAGAGTTCCATCAGCATCACCAACTGCAGGAGTTCCTTCAGCAGCAAAAGCTGCAGGAGTTCCATCAGCAGAAGGAGTTCCATCAGCAGTACCAACAACAGATAGAGTTCCATCAGCAGGAACAACTGACGGAGTTCCTTCAGCAGTACCAACAGCAGAAAGATTTCCATCAGCAGCACCAACTGCAGAAGGAGTTCCTTCAGCTGTACGAACAGTAGAAGTTCCTTTAGCAGTACCAAACTGCAGAAGAATTTCCATCATCAGCACCAACTGTGTTCCTTCACCATTACCAACACCAGGAGTTCCATCAGCAGCACCAATTGGAGAAGGAGTTCCATCAGCAGTACCAACAGCAGGAGGAGTTCTATCAGCAGTACCAACAGCAGGAGTTCCATCAGCAGAACCAACAGCAGAAGGAGTTCCATCAGCAAGAACAACTGCAGGAGTTCCTTCAGCAGTACCAACTGCAGAAGGTGTTCCATCAACAGTACCAACAGCATAAAGATTTCCATCAGCAGTACCAAGCAGGAGGAGTTCTATCAGCAGTACCAACAGCAGGAGTTCCATCAGCAGAACCAACAGCAGAAGGAGTTCCATCAGCAGGAACAACTGCAGGAGTTCATCAGCAGCACCAACTGCAGAAGGTGTTCCATCAACAGTACCAACAGCATAAAGATTTCCATCAGCAGTACCAACAGCAGAAGTTGCTTCAGCAGTACAACAGCAGGTGGAGTTCCATCAGTGGCACCAACATCAGCAGCACCAACTGCAGAAGTAGTTCCATCAGCAGCACTAACAGCAGTACCAACTGTAGTAGGATTTCCATCAGTAGTCCAACAGGAGGAGTTCCTTCAGCAGTACCAACAGAAGAAAGATTTCCATCAGCAGCACCAACTGCAGAAGGAGTTCCATCAACAGTACCAACTGCAGCAGAGAGGCAGTACCAACAGGAGGAGTTCCTTCAGCAGTATCAACAGCAGAAAGATTTCCATCAGTTTCATCAGCGGCAACAACTGCAGAAGTTCCTTCAGAAGCAACAACTGCAGAAGGATTTCTATCATCAGCACCAACTGCAGAAGGAGATCCTTCAGCAGTACCGACAGCGGGAGTTCCACAGCAGAACCAACAGCAGAAGGAGTTCCATCAGCAGGAACAGCTGCAGAAGGTGTTCCATCAGCAGTACCTACTGCAGAAAGATTTTCATCATAAGTACAAACAACAGGAGTTCCTTCAGTAGTACCACAGCAGAAGAGTTCCTTCAGTAGCACCAACAGCAGAAGGAGTTCCATCAGCAGGAACAACTGCAGGTGTTCCATCAGCAGTACCAACAGCAGGAGTTCCTTCAGCAGTACCAACAGCAGAAGGAGTTCCATCAGCAGTATCCACTGCAAAAGGATTTCTATCAGCAGAACCAACTGCAGAAAGAGTTCCATCAGCGGCAACAACTGCAGAAGGAGTTCATTCAGCAGTACCAACTGCAGAAGGATTTCCATCAGCAGTAGCAATTGCAGAAGGATTTCTATCAGCAATACCAACTGCAGGAGTTCCATCAGCAGGAACAACCTCAGAAGGAGTTCCATCCGCAATACCAACTGCCAAAGGAGTTTCTTCAGCAGTAGCAACTGCAGAAGGATTTCCATCAGCAGTAGCAACTGCAGAAGGAGTTCCTTCAGCAGTACCAACTACAGAACGATTTCCATCAGCAGCACCAACTGCAGAAGGAGTTCCTTAAGCAGCACCAATAGCAGGAGTTCCTATAGTAGTACTAACTGTAGAAGCAGTTCCATCAGCAGCACCAGCAGCAGATGGAGTTCTATCAGCAGCATCAACAGAAGGAGTTCCATCAGCAGCACCAACTGCAGGAGTTCTTTCAGCAGCACCAACAGCAGGAGGAGTTCCATCAACAGCACCAACAACAGAAAGAGTTCCATCAGCAGTACCAACAGTAGAAGTTCCTTCAGCAGTGCCAACGGCAAGAGTTCCATCAGCAGCACCAACTGCAGGAGTTCCATCAGCAACAACTGCAGGAGATCCATCAGCAGTACACACTGCCGAAAGAGTTCCTTCAGCAATACCAATAACAGAAAGAGTTCCATCAACAGTAACAACTGACGAAGGAGTTCCATCAGCAGCACCAACTGCAGAAGGAGTTCCATCAGCGGCAATAACTGCAGAAGAAGTTCCATCAGCAGCACAACAAAAGGAGTTCTATCAGCAGTACTAACTGCAGAAGGAGTTCTTTCAGCAGTACCAACATCAGGAGGAGTTCTATCAGCAGCACCAACAACAGAAAGAGTTCCATCAGCAGTACCAACTGCAAAAGGAGTTCCATCAGCAGCACCAACTGCAGAAGGAGTTCCATCAGCAGCACCAAGTGCAGGAGTTCCATCAGCAATACCAACTGCTGAAGGAGTTTCTTCAGCAGTACCAAATGTAAAATGAGTTCATTCAGCAGTATCATTTTCAGAAGGANAACTGCCGAAGGAGTTCCATCAGCAGCACCAACAGCAGAAGCAAAGTTCCATGCAGCACCAACTGCAGAAGGAGTTCCATCAGCAGCACCAACTGCAGAAGGAGTTCCATCAGCAGCACCAACTGCAGAAGGAGTTCCATCAGCAGCACCAACTGCAGAAGGAGTTCCATCAGCAGCACCAACTGCAGAAGGAGTTCCATCAGCAGCACCAACTGCAGAAGGAGTTCCATCAGCAGCACCAACTGCAGAAGGAGTTCCATCAGCAGCACCAACTGCAGAAGGAGTTCCATCAGCAGCACCAACTGCCGAAGGAGTTCCATCAGCAGCACCAACTGCCAAGTTCCATCAGCAGCACCAACTGCGAAGGAGTTCCATCAGCAGCACCAACTGCAGAAGGAGTTCCATCAGCCAACTGCGAAGGAGCAGGCAGTTCCATCCAGCAGCAGCAGCAACTGCAGAAGGAGTTCCATCAGCAGCACCACTGCCGAAGGAGTTCCATCAGCAGAAGAAGGAGTTCCATCAGCAGTATTCCATCAGCAGCAACTGCAGAAGGAGTTCCATCAGCAGCACCAACTGCCGAAGGAGTTCCATCAGCAGCACCAACTGCAGAAGGAGTTCCATCAGCAGCACCAACTGCCGAAGGAGTTCCATCAGCAGTGCAGCAGCACCAACTGCCGAAGGAGCAGTGCAGGAGTTCCATCAGCAGCACCAACTGCCGAAGGAGTTCCATCAGCAGCACCAACTGAAGGAGTTCCATCAGCAGCACCAACTGCAGAAGGAGTTCCATCAGCAGCACCAACGAAGGAGTTCCATCAGCAGCACCAACTGCCGAAGGAGAGCAGCAGGAGTTCCATCAGCAGCACCAACTGAAGGAGTTCCATCAGCAGCACCAACTGCAGGAGTTCCATCAGCAGCACCAACTGCAGAAGGAGTTCCATCAGCAGCACCAACTGCAGAAGGAGCAGCAGCACCAACTGCAGAAGGAGTTCCATCAGCAGCACCAACTGCCGAAGGAGTTCCATCAGCAGCACCAACTGGAGTTCCATCAAGCACCAACTGAAGGAGTTCCATCAGCAGCACCAACTGCAGAAGGAGTTCCATCAGCAGCACCAACTGCAGAAGGAGTTCCATCAGCAGCACCAACTGCCGAAGGAGTTCCATCAGCAGCACCAACTGCAGAAGGAGTCAGCAGCACCAACTGCAGAAGGAGTTCCATCAGCAACACCAACTGTTCCATCAGCAGCAACTGCAGTTCCATCAGCAGCACCAAGAAGGAGTTCCATCAGCAGCACCAACTGCAGAAGGAGTTCCATCAGCAGCACCAACTGCAGAAGGAGTTCCATCAGCAGCACCAACTGCGAAGGAGTTCCATCAGCAGCACCAAACTGCCGAAGGAGTTCCATCAGCAGCACCAACTGCAGAAGGAGTTCATCAGCAGCACCAACTGCCGAAGGAGTTCCATCAGCAGCACCAACTAGTTCCATCAGCAGCACCAACTGCAGAAGGAGTTCCATCAGCAGCACCAAGAAGGAGCAGCAGCACCAACTGCCGAAGGAGTTCCATCAGCAGCACCAACTGCAGCAGCACCAACTGCAGAAGGAGTTTCCATCAGCAGCACCAACTGCAGAAGGAGTTCCATCAGCAGCACCAACTGCCGAAGGCAGCACCAACTGCGAAGGAGCAGCAGCACCAACTGCAGAAGGAGTTCCATCAGCAGCACCAACTGCGAAGGCAGCAGCACCAACTGCAGAAGGAGTTCCATCAGCAGCACCAACTGCGAAGGAGTTCCATCAGCAGCACCAACTGCCGAAGGAGTTCCATCAGCAGCACCAACTGCAGAAGGAGTTCCATCAGCAGCACCAACTGCCGAAGGAGTCCATCAGCAGCAAGAAGAGCAGCAGCAACTGCAGAAGGAGTTCCATCAGCAGCACCAACTGCCAGGAGTTCCATCAGCAGCACCAACTGCAGAAGGAGTTCCATCAGCAGCACCAACTGCAGAAGGAGTTCCATCAGCAGCACCAACTGCCGAAGGAGTTCCATCAGCAGCACCAACTGCGAAGGAGTTCCATCAGCAGCACCAACTGCAGAAGGAGTTCCATCAGCAGCACCAAAGGAGTTCCATCAGCAGCACCAACTGCCGAAGGAGTTCCATCAGCAGCACCAACTGCAGGAGTTCCATCAGCAGCACCAACTGCCGAAGGAGTTCCATCAGCAGCACCAACTGCAGAAGGAGTTCCATCAGCAGCAACACTCAGAAGGAGTTCCATCAGCAGCACGCAACTGCCGAAGGAGTTCCATTAGCAGCAACCAAGCAGGAGCAGCAGCACTATCTGCAGAAGCTTCCATCAGCAGCACTATTTGCAGAAGGAGTTCCATCAGCAGCACCAACAGCACAAAAAGTTCCATCAGCAATATCAACTGCAGAAGGAATCCCACCAGCACTACCAACTGCAGAAGCAGAGCCATCAGCAGTACTAACTGCAGAAGGAGTGCCATCACCATCACGATAAGGTCAATAGATCACTTCAAATGGGCTTACCAAGAAGAGCCAGAAGAACATGGCTGAATGCTACTCCGAAATCTAGTCCGCCAATGTTTGTCAGTGAGCCTCTTTTTATTTCAAATTTTTGGGCTCTTTCCAATCACGCCTTTTCTGTTACCATCAGTAGCACTATTTGCCGAAGGAGTTCCATCAACAGCACCAACTGCCGAAGGAGTTCCATCAGCAGCACCAACTGCCGAAGGAGTCCCATCAGCAGCACCAACTGCCAGTTCCATCAGCAGCACCAACTGCCGAAGGAGTTCCATCAACAGCACCAACTGCAGAAGGAGTTCCATCAGCAGCACCAACTGCCGAAGGAGTTTCATCAGCAGCACCAACTGCCGAAGGAGTCCCATCAGCAGCACCAACTGCCGAAGGAGTTCCATCGGCAGCACAAACTGCAGGAGTTCCATCAGCAGCACCAACTGCCGAAGGAGTTCCATCAGCAGCACCAACTGCAGGAGTTCTATCGGCAACATCAACTGCCGAAGGAGCTCCATCAGCAGCACCAACAGCAGGAGTCCCATCAGCAGCACAACTGCCGAGGAGTTCCATCAGCAGCACCAACTGCCGAAGGAGTTCATCAGCAGCACCAACTGCAGGAGTTCTATCGGCAACATCAACTGCCGAAGGAGCTCCATCAGCAGCACCAACAGCAGAAAGAGTCCCATCAGCAGCACCAACTGCAGAAGGAGTTCCATCAGCAGCACCAACTGCCGATGGAGTTCCATCAGCAGCACCAACTGCAGAAGGAGCTCCATCAGCAGCACCAACTGCAGGAGTTCCATCAGCAGCACCAACTGCCGAAGGAGTTCCATCAGCAGCACCAACTGCAGAAGGAGTTCCATCAGCAGCAACAACTACAGAAGGAGTTCCATCAGCAGCACCAACTGCAGAAGGAGTTCCATTAGCAGCACCAACTGCAGAAGGAGTTCCATCAGCAGCACCAACTGCAGAAGGCGTTCCATCAGTAGCACTATTTGCAGAAGGAGTTCCATCAGCAGCACCAACAGCACAAAAAGTTCCATCAGCAATATCAACTGCAGAAGGAATCCCACCAGCACTACCAACTGCAGAAGCAGAGCCATCAGCAGTACTAACTGCAGAAGGAGTGTCATCACCATCACGATAAGGTCAATAGATCACTTCAAATGGGCTTACCAAGAAGAGCCAGAAGAACATGGCTGAATGCTACTCCGAAATCTAGTCCGCCAATGTTTGTCAGTGAGCCTCTTTTTATTTCAAATTTTTGGGCTCTTTCCAATCACGCCTTTTCTGTTACCATCAGTAGCTCTATTTGCAGAAGGAGTTCCATCAGCAGCACCAACTGCCGAAGGAGTTCCATCAGCAGCACCAAGCGAGTTCCATCAGCAGACCATTGCCGAAGGAGTTCCATCAGCAGCACCACTGCAGTTCCATCAGCAGCACCGAAGGAGTTTCATCAGCAGCACCAATGCCGAAGGAGTTTTGCCGAAGGAGTTCCATCAGCAGCACCAACTGCCGAAGGAGTCCCATCAGCAGCACCAACTGCCGAAGGAGTTCCATCAGCAGCACCAACTGCCGAAGGAGTTCATTGCAGAAGGAGCATCAGCAGCACAACTGCCGAAGGAGTTTCATCAGCAGCACCAACTGCCAGAACTGGAACATCGGCAGCACAAACTGCAGGAGTTCCATCAGCAGCACCAACTGCCGAAGGAGTTCCATCAGCAGCACCAACTGCAGGAGTTCTATCGGCAACATCAACTGCCGAAGGAGCTCCATCAACAGCACCAACAGCAGAAAGAGTCCCATCAGCAGCACCAACTGCCGATGGAGTTCCATCAGCAGCACCAACTGCCGAAGGAGTTCCATCAGCAGCACCAACTGCAGGAGTTCTATCGGCAACATCAACTGCCGAAGGAGCTCCATCAGCAGCACCAACAGCAGAAAGAGTCCCATCAGCAGCACCAACTGCAGAAGGAGTTCATCAGCAGCACAACTGCCGATGGAGTTCCATCAGCAGCACCAACTGCAGAAGGAGTTCCATCAGCAGCACCAACTGCAGGAGTTCCATCAGCAGCACCAACTGGAGTTCCATCAGCAGCACAACTGCAGAAGGAGTTTCCATCAGCAGCGAAGGAGTTCCATCAGCAGCACCAACTGCAGAAGGAGTTCCATCAGCAGCACCAACTGCAGAAGGAGTTCCATCAGCAGCACCAACTGCAGAAGGCGTTCCATCAGTAGCACTGCAGAAGGAGTTCCATCAGCAGCACCAACAGCACAAAAAGTTCCATCAGCAATATCAACTGCAGAAGGAATCCCACCAGCACTACCAACTGCAGAAGCAGAGCCATCAGCAGTACTAACTGCAGAAGGAGTGCCATCACCATCACGATAAGGTCAATAGATCACTTCAAATGGGCTTACCAAGAAGAGCCAGAAGAACATGGCTGAATGCTACCTCGAAATCTAGTCCGCCAATGTTTGTCAGTGAGCCTCTTTTATTTCAAATTTTTGGGCTCTTTCCAATCACGCCTTTTCTGTTTCAGGTTAGTTTCATCAGCAGCACCACTGCCGAAGGAGTCACAGCACCAACTGCGAAGGAGTTTCAAAGGAGTTCCATCCGCAGCACCAACTGCCGAAGGAGTCATCAGCACACCAACTGCCGAAGAGTTCCATCAGCAGCACAACTGCCGAAGGAGTTCCATCAGCAGCACCAACTGAGAAGGAGTTCCATCAGCAGCACCAACTGCCGAAGGAGTTTCATCAGCAGCACCAACTGCGAAGGAGTCCATCAGCAGCACCAACTGCCGAAGGAGTTCCATCGCAGCACAAACTGCAGGAGTTCCATCAGCAGCACCAACTGCCGAAGGAGTTCCATCAGCAGCACCAACTGCCAGGAGTTCTATCGGCAACACCAACTGCCGAAGGAGCTCCATCCAGCACCAACAGCAGTTGCCTCATCAGCAGCACCAACTGCGAAGGAGTTCCATCAGCAGCACCAACTGCTCTAAACATCAACTGCCGAAGGAGCTCATCAGCAGCACCAACAGCAGAAAGAGTCCCATCAGCAGCAGCACAACTGCAGAAGGAGTTCCATCAGCAGCACCAACTGCCGATGGAGTTCCATCAGCAGCACCAACTGCAGAAGGAGTTCCATCAGCAGCACCAACTGCAGAGTTCCATCAGCAGCACCAACTTTCCATCAGCAGCCAACGCAGAAGGAATTCCATCAGCAGCAACAACTACAGAAGGAGTTCCATCAGCAGCACCAACTGCAGAAGGAGTTCCATTAGCAGCACCAACTGCAGAAGGAGTTCCATCAGCAGCACCAACTGCAGAAGGCGTTCCATCAGTAGCACTATTTGCAGAAGGAGTTCCATCAGCAGCACCAACAGCACAAAAAGTTCCATCAGCAATATCAACTGCAGAAGGAATCCCACCAGCACTACCAACTGCAGAAGCAGAGCCATCAGCAGTACTAACTGCAGAAGGAGTGCCATCACCATCACGATAAGGTCAATAGATCACTTCAAATGGGCTTACCAAGAAGAGCCAGAAGAACATGGCTGAATGCTACTCCGAAATCTAGTCCGCCAATGTTTGTCAGTGAGCCTCTTTTTATTTCAAATTTTTGGGCTCTTTCCAATCACGCCTTTTCTGTTACCACATTGCCAATTTCTATTCATTACACAAATACCTTTTTTTTCTCTTTTATGTATTTACTTGTTTTTCACTTTTGCTACTAAGCACCAGCGTTAAATTCCTTGCTCCCAGAAAATGTAAAATTTATTGCGATCACCTAAAAACTACTTGTTTGTTTCGCACTCGTGCTTCTGCAGGTTCATCACGTGGTAATGTCCTATCTCGCATGTTTTCAGCACTCGGGTCATGTTTTTTTGCGACTGCCTCCTTTCCTGTCAGGAGCTCTAGCCTCTCGCGATGTACTACTTTTGACGTCTCGTTCAGTTTGGTTGTTTTATCCCTTCAAATTCCATCCGCTCTTGCCCACATCTTGTTCACGTGATGATGATCTGTGCTGCCATGTGTCTACAACAGTACCAACTGCAGAAGTAGTTCCATCACCAGTACCAAATGCAGGAGTTCCACTAGGAGTACCAACTGCAGAATCAGAGCCATCAGCAGTACCAACTGCAGAAGAGGTTCCATCAACAGTACCAACTTAAGAAAAAGTACCATCTGTAGCACCAACTACAAGAAAGGTTTCATCATTAGTACCAACTGCTGATGGACTTCCACCAACAGTACCAATTGCAGAAAGACTTCCATCAGCAGTATCAACTACAGAAGGAGAGACATCTGTAGTACCAATTGCAGAAGTGCCACCTATAGTACCAACTGCAGAGGAATTACCAGCTGCAGAAGTTCCATTGCCAATGCCAATTGAAGAAAAACTTCCATCTACAGTACCAACTGCAGAAGGAGAGACATTTGCAGTAGCCAATGCAGGAGAACCATCAGCAGTACTAACTGAATAAGAAGTTCCATCAGCAGTACCAACTGCAGTAGGAGTTCCATAAACAGTACTAACAGCAGGAGTTCCATCAGCAATACCAGCTGCAGAAGGAGTTCCACGAGCAGTAGCAACTACAGCGGAAATTCCATCAGCAGTACAAACTGCAGGAGTTCCATCAGCAGTACCAACTGCAGGAGTTCCATCAGCAGTACCAACTGCAGCAGAAATTCCATCAGCGCGAAATCATAAATTTGACAGTATACCGTAATATCTAAAACTGCAGGAGTATCTACACTAGATCAAACAGTTATAACACATATATAACTTAGCACAAGGAAGTGTCCATCAACGTCTGTTGTGGTGATTGTGTTTGTTGATGCTTCGTGGGTGTTGATACTGCAGGCCAGAAATGATCCAATCACAGCAACAATATACATTAGCCCGAATATAGGAGTTCGCTAAATATAGCAGTAGCAATCACAACTATAACATAGAAGGAGTATTCATGCAGCGAGCATAACTAAAATCGCATAGATGAGCTCCATAAGGCAGATTTAACATACTACTTTGTAGTATGAGTTTCACATAATCCAGTCACTAGCTTACACTACATACTGTTACAAATAAGTAGAAAACTAAATTATTATACATTAAAGCTAAGTAATACCAAATACATGAGTATACGACACAAATAACACAAGTTATCCTAATATCAGAGAGACATATCACAACTATAATAGCATAATAAAGGAAGTTCTCAAATAAAATATATACACAATATTACAAAGACACAAATATACGGTATAGCCAGTAATATATAATATAGTTTTCCATCACAGCAAATAATATTAACTGTACAATGATCGTTATGGTGGGGAATGGTGTTGCGATTTATACAAGTAAGTAGTACCAACATATGGCTGATGTTAAGAACTTACCAATATACAATATGAGTTCTATACAATTACTATTAAGAAGTTACAATACACATAACTTTAGAAGGATAATCTACATTAGCAGTAAAAACCCAACACTGCAATAATAAAGTAGAGTTATATATATATAATACCAAATCAGATAAAGGTAACAATATATACTCAAAAAGTTTGAGAGAAGAAGTTATCATATATATCAGTAAGCCATCAAAATAATATATAAAATATATAATTATATATATTATACTGAGAAATAAGAGAGTGTATCAGTCACGAGATAACTCTAATAATAGGAGGATAAAGTTCCATAACACAAATCATTCACAACAATGATATTATCAATATTTAGCTGTCAATGGAAAATTACATCAAAACAGCTACGGACTATAATCGTAGCTGTGGGTGATGATGTATGGAGTTTTGTCTGCAGTGTCTTGAGTGAGTGTCAATTGAGCGTGTGTGTGTGTGGGTGAACTGCGAGGATGCGAGGTGTCGGCTATGCAAGTGTTAGGTGTGTGTATAGCGCACACTGAGCAACAGAACTCCTATTATGGCAGTGTGTATCGTCACATTACACCACTCACAAGCAATCTGAGCACACACGCACCTACACCATAGCATACCAGATTTGATAGTGCTTGAGAGCTAAATATATATAGGTACTTATTCACTTTAGCAGCAGTTTGGTAACTCGCTGAATATGAAACCTCTCGCATATTGCCTGACTTTAGCTATGAATATCTACCTAATCAGATATACAAGATCAGCACAATGACGCAGAGCATATGATTATCGATACAGTTATGTATATATAGCTAATTCACCAATCATGCTCAAGAAAGATAGTTATTTCATATATCAGCAGATACCTAAAATGTACGAGTGAAGTTGCATCAGTAGTTTACTATAATATTTAGTATACTAATAGAATAAATAACTGACTATGATGAGAGAGTTCCATCAGTACAGACACACACACACTCAAGAAGTTAAGTTTATAATCAAGTAGTATAGACTAAACTGCTTAGATGGATAATCCTGCAGTTGGTGTCGTTGCTGATTGGATAAAGGTTTTAGTTTGTGTGTTGGGTGCCTGCTGAATGGAAATACTGACACAGTTGATGAGCTAGCTTATAGATATAGAACTTACCTTCTGTACAAGTTGAACTCTATTCGCAGTTTGAGTATAACTAGCTTAGATTGGAACTCCTTACGCAGTTGAGTTGCTGCTGTTGCATAACTTACCTTTCGTAACAGTTGGTGCTTGCTTCAGACGATACACCAACACCAGGGAGCTCCATCATGGAGCAGCAGCAACACATATTTCCATCAGCACCGCACCAACGCCAAAGGAGTCCAGTTCAGTAAGTATCTACTGCAGATGGAGTTTTATCAGTAGTGACGAAACTACTGATGGAACTCGCTTCTGCAGTTGGGCTCCTGATGAAACATCTGCGTTGTGTGTTGAGTGGAACTGCCTTCTGCAGTTGGTGCTGCTGATGGAATTCCTTCTGCGGTTTTGTACGTGCAGATGGAAGCCATTGCCGTTGGTTGGGTGCTGATGGAAAATCTTCTGCAGTGTGGTGACTGATGAAACTCTCTGCAGTTGGTGGCTGCTGATGAACTACTTCTGCACTTGGCACTGCTGACTGAAGAAGTTCCTATCAGCAGTTCAACGAAGGCAAGGAGTATGGTGGTGGCTGCCTGATGGAAACTCCTGTCTGCTCAACGCCGAAGGAGTTGGTGCTGCTGATGGAACTCCTTCAGATGTGCTTGCTGAATTGAGTAAATTCCTTTCATGCGGTTTTGGTAACTGCAGATGGAACATCCTTCTGCCGTGGTAATGCCGATGGAACTTCGGCAGTTGGTGGCTGAGCTCATGGAACATCTACAGTTGATACTTTGCCTGATTAAGCTCCTGTGCGAAGTTGGTGCTGCTAGAATGGGAAAAAAAAAGGCGACCCCAACCCTCCACGTATTTTTTTTTAACAAATTTTTTGGGGAGTTTTTTTTACTGGGATAATTGGGAATTTCCCTAGTGCACAATTGGTGCTGCCTGAACTGGCACTCCTTCATGCAGTTCCGGTGCTGCAGATGGAACTTCCTCTGCAGCTGGTGCTCTGAGTGGAATTCCTTCTATAGTTAGTGTGCTGAGAAACTTTGGCAGTTGGTACTATTTGATGGAACCAATCAGCAGCACCAAATGCCCGAAGGAGTTTTGCAATCAGCAGCACCAATAGCAGAAGTTCATCACAATACAACAACATGTTAGAAGGGAGTCCCACCAGCAATACTAACTGCAGAAGTTCCTATCAGTAAGTACCAACTTGCTGCAGTTGATGGCTGTGAAATCCTTCGCTGAGTTGGTGGTGTTGATGGAATCTCCTTCTGCAGTTGGTGCTGCTGATGAACTCCTTTGTCAGTTTGGTGTCTGCATTGTGTAGATTCCTTCTGCAGCTGGTGCTCGCTTATGGTAACTCCTTCTGCAGCTGTAGCTGGCTGAGTGGAACTCCCTTGGCTTCTTGGTGTGCGTGATGTAGACTCCCTTCATGCAGCTGGTGCTGCTTATGGAACTCCTTCGCAGTTGGCTGCTGCTGAGATTATCATTATGGTTTGGAAACTCCCCTTCTGCAGTTGTGATGCTGATAGGAATCTCCTTTTCTGGCAGTTTGGGTGCTGCTGATGGAATTCTCTTCTGCAGTTGGTCCGCTGCTGATGAACGCCTTCTGCAGCTTGTGAATGCTGATGGGACTCCTTCATGCAGTGGTTGCTGCTGATCGGGAAATTTCTTTCTGCAAAGTTGATTGGGCTGCTGATGGACACGCCGTTCTGCAGTTGGTGCTGCTGATGGGACTACCTTGCTGCAGTTGTGCTGCTGAATGGACATCTTCCTGCAAGTTGGTGCTTCTGATGGAACCTCCTTGCTAGAGCAGTTGGTGGCTGACTGATCGGAATATTTCTTCTGCAGTTGGTGCTGGCTGAATGGACCCTTCTGCAGTTAGTGAGCTGCTGGATGGAATCCTTCTTGCATGTTTTGATGCTGCTGATGGAATCTCTTTCTGCAGTTGGTGCTCGCTGATGAATTTCTTCTGCGTTGTGCCTGCTGAATGGAACTACTTCTAGCCTTTGTTAGTGCTGATGGATACTCCTGTAGTTCGAACGATGCTGTTGGTGCGAACTGTCGTCTTTGCAGTGGTGCTGCTGATCGTGAAACTCTTTTAGCAGTTGTTACATGCTGATCGGAACTCTTCGGCAGTTGGTAACTGTTGTTTGTCTTTCGCTAATGCCAGATAAGCGATCTGCTGCGTTCTATGAACCGTTCATTAATGCTGCGCTGGATGTCTGCTCTGTCTGCAGTTGGTCTTGCTGATGGCTCTCCTCTGCATGTGGTACTGATTTGTACCTTCCTTCTGAGCAGTTGGTACTCGCTAATAGACAAACCTACCTGCAGTTGGTACTGCTGATGGAACTTCTTTCTGCAGTTGGTACTGCTCGATGGAAACTCCATTTTAACTGTTGGTACTGCTGAATCGTAAACTCCTTCTATTCTGGTGTTGCTGATGTGACACATCTCCTGCAGTTGACATGTGCTGAAGCTACTACTATCTGCAGTGTCACTGCTGAAGGAATATTCTGGCGGTTGTCATGAGTGAAGGAAACTCCTTCTGGCATATTGGTACTGCGATAGAACCTCCTTCTGGCAGTTGTTTCTGCTGATCGGAAGCTACCTGCCATTTGTTCTGCTTGATGGAACCTCCGTAATGCTGGTTGTACTGCTGAACTGGAACTGACGTCCAGCAGATGCTGTACTGGCGGAGGGTAATTCCAGTCCAACATACCTTCGTTCGGAGGCACTGTTCTAGGTACTATCCTACCGATGGAGAATTGAAGCTCGCCGGGCCGTTTGCACTGCTGAAGGAACTCCTTCTGCTGTTGGTATTGCTGAAGGAACTCCTTCTGCTGTTGGTATTGCTGAAGGAACTCCTTCTGCTGTTGGTATTGCTGAAGGAACTACTTCTGCAGTTGTTACTGCTGAAGGACTCCTTCTGCTGTTGGTACTGCAGGAGGAACTCCTTCTGCTGTTGTTGCTGCTGCTGGAACTCCTGCAGTTGGTGTTACTGATGGAAATCATTCTGCTTTTGATGCTGCTGACGGAACTACTTCTGCAGTTGTTACTGCTGAAGGAACTCCTTCTGCTGTTGGTACTGCAGGAGGAACTCCTCTGCTGTTGTGCTGCTGCTGGAACTCTGCAGTTGTGTTACTGATGAAATCATTCTGCTTTTGATGCTGCTGACGGAACTACTTCTGCAGTTGGTACTGCTGATAGCACTCCTGCAGTTGTTATTGCTGACGGAACTCCTTCATTTGGTACTGCTGACATAGGCTCGTCTTTCTGCTGCTGTTTCTTCTGAAAGGAACTTCATTGAGTTAGTGTACCGCGTGCCTGAGATGACTAGTGCCCCTTCATGCAGTTGTAATTTGCTGAAATGTCTCTTCGCATCCTGCTGATGAGTAGCTGCTGACTGCACCTTTTCTGGAAATGTTTTGGTCCTATCGAAATATCGTGCTCCTTTGTCGAGTATGTGTATAGCTGAGGAAACTCCTGTTAGTTGAGGTTACTCGCTAATGTCTCTCTATATGAATCATGTTGGATACTGAAGAGTTATCTACTTCTGGCAGTGTCGTTAGCAGCTGGATGACGCAAACTCTATCAATAGGGTACTGGCCGTGTTGGTGACTCCCCTGCAAGCTAAGGTAGTTGACTTGGATGAAAACCTGACATAGCTGCCAGGTTGCAGTCTGCATTGTGTGATGATATATGCCTACTGCAGAGTTGGTACTGCGGACAGTCTCCCATCTATTTCGCTGGCAGTTGGTTTTGCTACTAGATTGAACAGTCCGTCTTCATGCAGATTGGTACGAACTGAGTGGAGAAATTTCCTCTTCTGCTCGTCTAGTATGCTGCATTGTTGTTGGTTGGTGTGCTGATTGGGAATTCCTTCTGCGAGATTGTATGCGGATGAGCCACCTAATTCGTGCAAGTATCGTATTCAGGGGCTTTTATGGAACCGGTTTTTTCCGTTGAGTAATTGCTAGGATCGAGATGATCCTTCTGGCAGGTTGTGAAGGCTGCTTCTATCGTATACTGCGTTGAGATTACGGGCAAGTATAGAAGCGGCCATACCAAAACGAAAAGAAAGTGGGTGGAAATTCACGAGATATATGTATTATGTAATATATAATATATATTAATATATATTACAGTTTCCCGGTCATGAAGAGCTTTATGGAGGCGGGGAACGGAATATTTAAATTTATACTGGAACTGGTGTTTCTATGTGGTTTACCTTGCAAGGGCAATTGCTTTGATTTTTTTAACTTCTTAAGTAAGGCGATGTGTTCTAGTTCTTGTTATAACTGAGTTTTTTTTTTTCTCGTGTTCTATTCCATGTTTGTTTGTGTCATTTTTAAGGGAATTTTTATAGTTACTTTTTTATGTTCTGTGGTTAATGGAATCTACTATATGCGCTCCTTCGGTTATTTAAAATTAGATTTAAAGGAACCTGAAGATCTGCTTATTTAAAATAATGATTTAAATGAAGATGGATGATATTATAAATTAGATGAGATTGAGATGAAGGCAGACGGTACTTTCCATGGTATGTTAATTGCCATGATAAGAATATTAATAATGAAGATGAAGCTATGGAGATAA